TTTCACTCTATCGTTCCAAATATATGGAAGAGTCAAGACAGATCGAACTTCTGATCAAAGCTTTGCGATGTGTCATACGATGGTTTTATTCAGAGAAGCTGCTGATTACTTTCACCCTTTTTCGAAATGAAAATAGAGAGACAAGAAATGTCAAACGAAAGGGCATTGGTCTTTTTCATGTTCACAAGTGCAAAGCATGAACATACATGCTATCATTGTCAAGAAAAAGGACATTTGTCTAGAGACAGCCCTAGGAAAAACGAAAAACGAGAAGCTTTTCAAGATTTTAGTTAACGTGGAGTAGTCTATTTTTAAGAAAGGTGTGTAGTCCTGAAAAGGACCGATAGTTGTTGTTTTATTTAGAAAACACATGAGCTCGAGGTAATGAGCGCTAACTGCCTTATCTCTGTGCCATGGCCATGACCTACCTTGACAATTTGGTAGTAACCACTAGATTGATTACCTCATGCGTACTGGGAGTGTTGACGGGGTGGGAATGGTTGGCTCAGGAAGGTCTTTTCTCTTGGGTTTTATTAAAAAATTAAAAAAGTCTGATACGACTTTCACTGTTTTCCTTCCCTCCTGGACCTTGTTTCTTTCCTCTTCTCCTTCTTAATGTTGTTGTCTTATTGCCCCTTCTTCTTATAGCCGTTGCTGCAGAAGGGGAAAGTTCTTCTCATAGCCGTTGCTGAAAAAGGGGAAAGGTCTTGTTCTGCATCTTTCTGCATTTGTAGAGGTTTTTTCCAATTATTATTTCTGCGTGTTTAAAATCTACGACGTAATGTACGGAAGGGTATGTCATGAATGTATTGATATTGGATCTAATTCTTATAAAGAGAGAAAATTAACTGAATCCCAATTAAAGTCGTTTTCTTCTGGAAGATGAACTTTGTATTCGTTGCAAGCTGATGTTCTGCCTTTGGTTCTCGTCTCTATGGTCAGTGCACCCCAATATGTACAATCAGTCATGTTCTAGCAATGTGACATCGATTTACTGTGCTTAGGGAATGTGAAGACAGACTCCGCACTGTGACTAACGCATATTTGGATAGGTGAAAGAAGTTAATCCCTTTCGATTTGCTCATTTCATATAAATATCCGCGGGTCACATCACTCCATTTACTTGTTCGCGTCAGACGATGTGGACTAACAATATTCTACCTTCATATGGTCTATGCTGCTAGTCCCAGACTTTCCCATGTATGTCCAATTAGCATAGGTTATTAACAAAATCACAGAGACCGCCTTTTGGAGAAGGATCTATATGGAAAGACAATGCTGTCGGAAGAGAATAATAATCTACGGTCCAGATACTATGCAAAGTTTGAGAAAGAGAAGCAAAACTCAAAAGCCAATTTTCAGGCCACTCAAAATATGTTTCGTCGATTGTGTAGTTGTTTGCTTGATAGATTTATGTCAAATATATAAATCAACGTTTGTGTGATTATATATATATATATATATATATATATATATATATATATATATATATATATATATATATATATATATATATAGTGTGTGTGTGTGTGTTTGCCACTGCCTACTATAATGCATATCAAGTCAGCTACTTGCAATACTGTTCAAAACTGCTACGTCGATTGAGGTTGTCATTGTTTCGTCAGTGTTCAATTCTCCTTGTCCCTAGACAGTCCCAGTAGATTGTCACTACAAATACATATGATAAATACCTCTTGCCGCATAAGTATCCCATCCATGTTAAATTTTACCTTGTCACCACGATACAACCCCCACTCCACCCCGTTTGAACAATAAGATCTCATTGTGACTAAATTATCCCCAATAAGTACTTACCTATGTACCTTAGAAAGTTTGTTTCGAGCCGTACGTGACCCTAGCATTCAAGGCAGTTATCCTGGACACCCCGTTAATTATTGTCTTGAACTTCAATATATTTTTGCATTTGAAACATAATTAAATCGGACCTTACGAAAATGATAAGGACCTTATTGTAAGTATTTGAAAACAGTTTCTTATAAATGAAATTTGTAAATCACATATTTCAGTTCAAGCTCTTACTTCTTAAAAACAAATCGTTTATGGTATTTTCACACTTCTCTGAGTAACACAAGAAAAGGACATTAACGCAACATGCAAACATTTGAAAACCTTACTCTATTTAGAGAAAGTGATTATAACTAGTACACTCAACGAGCAGTAAGCAAATGACCCCAATTTTGACGCGAACTAGAAACCAAACAAAGAGCAAAATAACGAATATGTCATGCTTCCAAAATGACGTGAAGAAGCTATTAAATTCTCTAGTAGGTTTAGAATACTAGAAAGTGTGAAAACGTGATCACCTCCATACCAATCCAGCTAACCTCACCGTAAATCATGTACTCACACAATTTACAAACATATTTTTACGCGTCAGTAAAGAAAAGAGTGAAGGCAGCTTGCGTTATAAAGTGTAACAAATAATTTATTTCTCCGAGAATACAAAGTGGGAAAATGAGAAAAAAGAACGTACGATTTTACGAATTAAATCCAAAAATAACACAAGAATTAAAGACCCAAATCCTAGTAAAAAAAAAATCCTAATTAAAACTCAGTTGAAGTCCGGAAGTGATTTAAATTGTAGGCGATGACGTGTCTGTTATAGCCTACGAAGTACTGATGCATCGACAGTCTCTTGTTAAATCACGGAAATATAACTCCAGGTTTGACTTCAGTATAAATTCCAATGAACTTTTTGAACCAAGAATATTGTCCGATCATTTTCTTATTCCCAGAGAAAATAATCACTTGAATTTAATAATTTGATGAAAATAAAATTCAGCACAAATGGACATAACATAATGCAGCATAAAGTGGTAGATGTTAAAGCGCGTCTGGTAAAATCCTAACAATCACAAAATAACTTTTAACATTTGCACACAAATTATTTTTCTAAAAGCAAACTTTACTCAAAGAAAAATAACTATCTGAAATGAACTAATCAGCCTTGTTTACTTATAACACATTATATGCTAAATTCACTTGTGGATCTCCAAAACCTTGATTATGGTCAACATGTTTATATCTATAATAATTTGTTCAATTAACTCATAAGCATATAAGCATATAGAAAAATGAAGCTATTACTAGTTGTCTACATAAAGAAAATTAAAACAAATTAAAAACGTCAATCAAGTCAATCAGAAATGAATATTCAATGTGGAAAAAATCAAGAAAAACAAACAATGATAAAAAACTAGACAAGAAATAATTAAATTAAAAGTACATAACATTTAAAGAGAAGAATAGATTTATGCAGTGAAGCTTTGTGTATGCTATAAACAAACTATGCATGTGGTATCAAAACTATATGTTAAAATCATATGAATTATATTATTGTATACATGTATATTATTATATACACGTGAATGTTCATCCGCTACTATAATGGGTTTTTTTTCCATTGATGTGCCTGATGCAGCAACAAACTCCACCTTAATAATATTTGATCTTTGTCTTTCTTGTTACCGACGACAGGAAGGGGTTTGTCATCACTAAACACAATAACCGGGGAAATTGCTCAAGCAATGTAAACCTGTTATGTTTTGAAATATTAATATCAAAGCCATACATTCCTTGTCGATTGTGGAATACTTTATATGGTTTGCTTAATATCTTAGAACAATAGCACACTGGATAATTAACGCAATTTTTATATTCTTGAATTAATACTGCTCCAACCCCAGCATTACTTGCATCAACATACAGCTAAATAATTGATTGAAATTTGGATCTAACAATTTGTACACTTTTAAGTATGGCTTTTAACCTGTCAAAAGATTCTTGAAATTTGTCGAACAAATGAAACATATTTTCCTGCTTAATAAATTTGTCTTGGGTTATGCAATTATGGCAAAATTGGAACAAAATTTCGGATAGAATACAGCTGTTTCTTACTTGCAGTAATTATCTTGTTAATGCCCCACATTTTTCACCTAGAAATGTTAAACGTGCAAGGCAAAATTCACTTTTGGAAATATTAATTGTCAAACTTGCATCATTGAGTGTCAAATACTTTTTGAATTGTTGCTAAATGTTCTTTAGAAGTGCCGTTGTAGATGATGACATCATCGATGTAAGAATCATAACAGAACAGAAGTTCATGTTCATTAAGTGTTGAGAGGTACTTGGCGAACCTTTCATCCCAAAACAACATCACATTATATTGATAACGTCCATCTGCAGTCACGAATGTTGAAATTTCATTTAACATTTGCGTCGGTGGAATTTGCCAATATCCTTTCAAACGGTCAAATTTAGTGACACACATGGCATTTCTAATTTTATCAATGCAGTCATTGATTCTTGGTAATGTAAATGAATCTGTTTTAATCACACTGTTCACCTTTCTATAATCAGCGAACATGCAGTAAGTATTATCTGGTTTGGAAACGAGCATACACAGTGGACTCCAGAAACCTTTAGTCAGCTCTACGAAATCATTTTCCAGCAAATACTCAATTCCTTTCTTCAATTATTTTTGTTTGAGAGAGTTTATCCTGTACGGATAAAGCTTTACAAGTGTGGAATTTACAATTTTATAGTCATGGTAAATTTTGTTTGTTCTTGTAGGAACATCTGGATATAAGGGTTCATAACCAAGTAATAAATGTTTATCTCATTCTTTTTTGGTGCTGCAAACGTGAACGTTTCTGCTCCAGATTATTCCTAATTTCAGAATTTACGAAGATTTGTCACTCCAAAATCAAAAGAGTCTGATTCAAATTTAAACCCTCACTTAGATGTGATTATGATTTTTAACATAGCTTTAATAATGTTTTAGTCATATTGCTACAATGTCTGCAGTGTGACAGCTTATAGTGATGTCTAGCACTGGCGCATCATGCCGCAGACACGTAGCATGATGTCCCACCCAGTCACATTATCCTGACCCCAGGCAAACGAAACATAACACTAAGATCTTAATGCTGAGCGTCAAGCTAGGCAGCTGTTAGTACCATGTTTGTAAGTCTTTGGTATGACTCGACCGGATATTAAACCCACCACCTCCCGCATATGAGGCGGACGCTTTAACCACTAGGCCACCGGTGCAGTTTCCCTCACTTAAAGGAACAGGTACACAATAAAATTAATTGCAAGATTTACCTGGCTATCTCTTTTAACATGCTGCTTTAATTTATTTGCATGTCATAAGTACTATTATTATAATTTAAATCTTACATTTACTTCTTAAAATTTTAAAGGCAGTAATACCAAATATGAAAATATTTTACAGAATGAGCAGGGAGACAGAACTCTCTCACCCCACTCAAACGTGATCTTCATTTTAATTCTGTGAAACCACAATTTCATTTTTGAAATTTGCTGTATGCAAAATTCAAGCATAGGTTGCTGGAAAATTCCAGACATAAAATTTAACCTTGATCAGATTAGATAGATTTGGGTATGAAAAATTGAGTATAAAAATCTATATCAAAGCCTCTTCTATTGTTTAAATTTTAATACTTCTCAAAGGAAATACCTCTGGGAATCTTTTTTACGCACACAGTATGGTCAACAAGTATTGGTTATCTGATTTAGTCTTAAATAAGGGACCAACACAATCTATCATTATTCTTCTAAATGGTTCATCAAATGCAGGAATAGGTTGCAGTTGAGCCTAATATATCCTCTATTTGGTTTTCCTGTCATTTGACAAGTATAACAAGATCTGCAGTATTTACAAACATCACTTTTATTATGTAGCCAATAGAAATGATTCAAGGTCTTGTGATAAGTCTTATCAATCCTTAACTGACTAGACAAATGAAGTTTCGTGTATCAGACTAAGAATTTCCTAGTCTGTACGATTTTGGAACTACAATGTGATAGTTCACTGACCATTCCTCACCAGCAGGTGTCCCTGGAGGTTTCCATTTTCTCGTACGAAACCCATTTTTAATGAAACAAAAAACATCTTTAGTATGTGGCTTCAGATTCACTAATGGTCATTTTAAAGTGACCTTATCACAATTATGACCAATACATGTGACAGCTAAAAGAATACTTCCCTCATCAACTTCATTCTCAATGTCTGTCTTTGCTGTAGCTCTGGCTACTGCACAAACTTTGTATAAGACAGGTAATTCTTTTCAATAGGATCGACTTTCTGATCCAAAACGTCAATCAGGTCAAACAGAAGTGAACTCAGTTTGGACAATGTCAAGTCTAGCAAATAATGTTACATTATCATGACAGGTAATGGAATAAAAAGATACAAACAATTAAATTAAGAGAGACAAAGTAAATAGGATATATTAGTTCAAAACATTTTGCTTTTTAGAGATAAATGTCATACCTACATGATACCTACAAATTTCGTTGGGTATGACTATCTGATATCCATGTGTTTGATATTGACTTCTCCTGGGAAGCAATTGCTTGAGTAGTAATCACATTTACGTATCAGTAGGAAATAATATAGATAATTCGTATATAATGAAACATACATGTAGATGGAGTAATGTAGATTCGGAAACTTTTCTATCAATCTGTGAATTATATTCCATAGGTGATAATTTATGAATTAATAACACATGAGAGACACACAATTCACAAAACGACTATTCCTAAATTTGTTAACAAGTAGTGATAAGATAATATGTACACAGAGCAAGGATGCCACAATAAATCTTTATGACACATCAGAATATCTTTAAATAAGATTCAGATTTCTTTTTATCAATATAACAATTTATGGAGGCTGACATCTTACGAGTGTGAATTGTAATTTATTGCAACGTGTGAGTTTGAGTTTTTCTTCTGGTTATTCATTCTCAGTGATTACTGTTTGCTATTAAACTTTATCTCTTGCATTGAGTGGTGTGCAGTCGCAAACAATTTCTTCTTTAAACATTTTAATCCAAACTTAAGCAGCATGACCATCAATGCCATAAATATAACTCTTCTCTATCCATTTTATGCACAAGTGCATCAACTTATAACATTTTATCCTGATAGGACGAAATATACTTAAGCTTAAGCTTAAGCATTTAAATGCAGTATGCAAATCAACTTTATTTCCTTATAATCAGTCGATCAGGATAAATTCACATTTGTGTCACAGGAGAAATCCCAAAAGCATACGTAATACTTGATTAAAGCGTTGAATTCCGAATTAACCGTTCTTTGCAAACTGGGGAAAGGTCATATTGAGATACACAGAAATCCAGATTTGAATTGTTGAATTGGTTTCCATATAAACCGAAACATTAGATCGATAGTACCATATATATATATATATATATATATATATATATATATATATATATATATATATATATATATATATATATATATATATATATATATATATATATATATATATATACTTTAGACCTAAAGATAGGAAAAACATTACTCGTAAGGTCCTTTATGAATAAGTTACGATATTTCTTCCTTTATGCATTAGTGAGACTATCCCCAGGAAGTAAGAAGTTGAAAGGGTACTCGTTTATATTTCCCCGACGTCCTTTCATAGCTTGTTATTTACAGGCTCAAGTATGGCCTTACAACCCTCGCTTAATTTTCTACAGAACCAACGACATAATAATTGTATCACCTTTGTTTAATACTAATGCGAAACAAACTTTTGCTTTTCTAATATTTTAATTGCAAGTAAACTTCATTAACGGAGCTCAAATTCAACACACACACACGACATATATATATATATATATATATATATATATATATATATATATATATATATATATATATATATATATATAGAGAGAGAGAGAGAGAGAGAGAGAGAGAGAGAGATCATGACTGAATGTAAATTAAGGGTCTTGTTCCCATTCTTAAATGAATTTGTCTGAAATTTGTAGTTGTTCATACAATTATAATATTTATAGCACTATAACACATTCATGTCAAAAAAGTTTCATTATTATTGTGGTAGTAATAATCAGGATCGAAAATGTATTGATCGTCATTACAAATTAGCAAGCAATTAAATTAGAGTTAAGACTTCTCTTTGTCAGTAATGAAAATCGACATCACATTTTTAAAATTATATTTTTAATTTCATCTTCCACGTATTGTCTATCGTTTTGAATCAGAAATTTAACACCACAGTGACTATAAGTGTTGTATACTTCAATCTTGTTTGTTAATGCTGGTACAGCATTTTATTTAATTTTCGTAATATTTATTTATTTATGTAAACTGTATTGATCATAATTTGCTATTTGTGTACGTGACATGGCCTTTTAATTGAATAGACTAGATAAAATGATGTTACGTATGTTTTGACATTTATTAGCAATATTCTAAATATTAAGACGAAAAATGGCTCCTATTTCATAATTTTTCAGTTTCATGTATATTTAATTTGCTTTGCTTGTTAGTTTCATTTTTATTTTATTTTTCTTTCGTAATTTTTCATTTCTTTACATGTTTAACCCGAATTGACTTTGCTGTTGCATTTTGTGTAAACAGCTAATGCATAGATATAGTATTATTTATGTCTATTGGTTTAAAATCAAAATTATTATTACTAAAATAAATATGTTTATTTAGTTCTAGGTCAATGTTTTGGGAATTTCCTTAGTGTACTTTACATAGCATGTTATGATTATTTTTGTAAACATCACCATTATTTTAGAAAAAAAATATTTTCCTTGAGGTAATATATTCTGTTTTAGAGAATGATAATTGTTACTTGAGGTCAAGTAGAGAACTATATAATCTTGTAACTGAGAGGATTCTTCAGTCGTGCTTGAAGATCTAGCACCTTCAAGTTGTATTATATATTGAGTCTAGTTGGGTTGAATTTTTATCTTCAAATTATTGAAATCAAGTGGTTATTTTCTATGAAACTACAGACATTCTTTGAGACGATTATTGGATAGAGAGAAATATTGAAATGTATAGTGAATCTTAACCTGAATTTGTATTACTGTTATCCAATAAATGACTGTTGCCACATCAACAATCTACAAACTACCAAAGACTCATCATCACCTTCAGTTTTAGATTGATTTTGGACTCTTGCTGAATTTTATATAGGACTTCAAATTATTGGGACTTGAGTCTTTAATTTTATAATTATATTGAAATTTAATTTGCATAATCGTAAGTTTCTTTGTATTATATTTTTACTTTGCTTTCTAGGGAAATAAACTAATGGTGAATATTAGAAAGCTTATTGCTTTTCACTCTTTTCTGTTGCCATTTTTAAGAGTATAGACTCGTAACATCAGTGACTGATGGGATGTCGTCATTTCGATAATAATTCTATAACTTCTGAGATCACGTGAATAGGCTCTTCTGCCAACGTGGTGTCTATTTCAAGATCCAGTTAAAACATGCAATGCATATAAGGAGAAAATTAAGCATTTAGATTTATTCAGATTGTAAGAGGCACTTACACTTAATGCGTTCCAGGCAGGCAGGTTTTATATTGTCCATAGATAGTATTTGAGATCAAACAAATTATTTGGATTATGATATTATTCTGAAACTGTTATTAATTACTCGCAAGAATTATTCACATCTCCATCATGTCAACGTCACTGTTTTTGAAAAAGCAGTTCATTTCAGGTACTGAACTGATAAGGAACATTTCACTCATTTAGAAATTTCGTAAACCTTTATAAGGAATTATTTTTATGTATACTTCTCTATACTGTAAATTCCTCTCGCCTTTTTATACATTTTATAATAATTATTTCCCATGTTGTATAACACTTGTTGGTTTGACATTTTTTCGTTTACATAATTGTGTGACTATAGAATAATAACATAAGCAATAAAAATAATTCAAAAGTTAAAACTAAGCATGATGCATCACCAAAATTTATATGTATAGTGGTGAGAGTGGTGATCGCTTCTAAATATATATATATATATATATATATATATATATATATATATATATATATATATACATACATACATACATACATACATACATACATACATACATACATACATACATACATACATACATACATACATACATACATACATACATACATACATACATACATACATACATACATACATACATACATACATACATACATACATACATACATACATACATACATA